CAGGGTGGTGGCGCGCGGCTGACAGTCAGCGCTTCCCTGGGGAGTAGGGTACCGGGGTGGCCCGGCGACGTCTGGGGCATCAGGGTAGCGTCATTGGACCGTCAGGGTGGCGTCACTGGCAAGGCCAGACTAGCGTCACTGGAACGTCACGTTAGCGTCATGTTAGCGTCACCGGAACGTTATGGTAACCTCACTGGAACGTCAGGTAGCGTCTCAACGGGCGTCAGGTTATCGTCATGGGAGCGTCATTACAGCGTCACAGGAGCGTCAGCTTGGCATAACCTTGGCGTCATGCTAGCGTCACTGAAACGTCAGGTTGCCCAGCGACGTCTGGGACGGCCGGCAGCGTCACGTCAGCGTCAGGTTAGCGTCATTGGTACGTCATGGCAGCGTCAGGTTAGCGTCAAGCTAACGTCCGTAGAACGTTAGGTTAGTGTCAAGGCATCGGGATCCGACATGACGGCAGTGTCGCCTCGGGTCTAATGTGACAGCAGCGCGACAGACGGGTGACAGGCGGGCGGGGAGGACACGAAGTAAAACTGCCCCATGAATGGGTTTGTATAACGTTAGCAAAAACTACATGTACCCATGATGGTCCATGATAAATGGGCCGGTATAACCTTAGCCGAAACTGTTACAGCGGAAAGTTGGGTCCAGATGTGGCGAGTTGACCGGACAATTAGCAGCGTGTTGGTTCTTGTGTGGGGGAAACTCTGGTCTCAATTATCCTGGTGATCATCTTGTCACCACAGCTGAGAGTTACGGCAGGCGGATCGCTTAGCTCAGACTAGCCTGGGTAACAGCCTGTTTTGAGGACTGTGATTTGGGGTCTAACCTAGCCCAGCTAACAGTCTGTTTTGGGCCCTAACTAGCCTCGGAACCACTATGGATTGGTAGAATTCTGTTTTGTGGCATCCCGTCTGGAAATTTCCTCCCAAAGAGCAGAAGCAACATTTTTCTTGTTCTGTGCAAGAACAGGTGATTTTCCAACTGGGCTTTGATCGTATTTTTGGTCTGGGCCTGTGAAAAGTATCTTGCCTGTTTGTTTCATGTGGAATTGAGGCTTGCTCTGTTGATGCAAAAGACACAAAGAATCAACCAAAATTTCTGTATCCTTAAGGTTGAGAGACCAACCATAATTGCAACTGACTTTTGTGTCCGCATGTCGAAAATTGAGTAATGTACCGGTCACGCTAATGTGATGCCCTGTCAGCCTTAATATGAGGCATCACAATTGTGCATAATGTACTGTCCACTGTGGTGTCACCACCAATCTGGGGCACTGCCCAACGTGAATAATGTACTGTCCACTCTAATGTAACATCCTGTCTGCTCCAGAGAGCCCTGCAAATTGTAGAACAATAGCAGCAAGGTGGCCAAATTAACCCTCACACAATAGACACACACACCTACCAGGGAACAATGGAGCCACCATGCTGGTCCTGACTACAGACCATCGATCACTGGTCTGGGGGGAGAAGGGAAGGTGCAACACAAGTTTTCAGGCTTTGTTGTGTTTCCTAAGCACTTAGGAGTGATGTCAGTGGCTATAAAGTTCCTTCTCAGTAACTATAGTTACTGTTGCCATAGTTACTGTTACCATAGCTATTCTAGTAACATAATTATGCACTATAAAAAGGACCATTTTCATTTGTAAAAGGATGAGTGAGCTTAGGTGTGATGTGACTATGCAGTTCCTTTTCCAGGACAGTAACCATAGTTACCATTGCCATAGCTACTGTTATGGTAACCATAGTTACCGTTGCCATAGTTACCATTACCATAGCTACTATAGTTACATGAAAAGGTGTTTATTCTTAGGTGTGATGTGACTATGCAGTTCCTTTTCCAGGACAGTTACCATAGTTACCGTTGCCATAGTTACTGTTACGGTAACCATAGTTACAGGCGGCGTGATGAGTGCAGCAGAGGGGGATGTGATGTCGTCTGCGGGACGTTTGGGAACGTTTGGGAAGCCGTCGGGATAAAAGTTTCCGCCGTGTTTTTTTCCGGCACGTTGGGAGTGAAGGTAACGCCACAACTGACCCAACATCCCCCTCTGAGCACTTAAAAACCTGCCTTCTCAAAAAACAAACGTCAAAAGTAAGAACGTGTTTGTTAAAAGCAGATGTGTTTGGTGTTTCAGAGGGGCGTGAATGTGTCAACTGTGGTGCTACCTCCACCCCCCTGTGGCGCCGGGATGGAACAGGCCACTATCTTTGCAATGCATGTGGACTCTACCACAAGATGAACGGGGTGAACAGGCCCCTAATCAAGCCCCAGCGCAGACTGGTGAGTAAAGGTTCCTGCGTGTTGTTGTAGGTGTTGCTGAAGCTAACTGGCTGAACTACTCAGGGAAGGATGACTACCTGAGTCTGTACCAGAACTACGGGCTTTACCAGCAGCTCAACGGAGCACAGAAGCCAGGTCTTGCCAAGCCCCCCAAGAAACTGGTAACCTTACTTATCTTGTACGACAAGTTTCTCAAGAAACTGGTAACCTTCCTTATGTTTTACCAAGTTCCTCAAGAAACTGGGAACATTTCTTATGTCTTACCAAGTTCACCAAGAAAGTGGTAACCTTTCTTATCTTAAACGAGTTCACGAAGAAACTGGTAGCCTTCCTTATCTTGTACCAAGAACGTCCTTACTCATACAAGTTCATCAAGAAACTGGGAACTTCTCTTATCTCATACCAAGAAGGTTAAACCTTCTTGCTCACTGTGACAAGTTCCTCAAGAAAGTGGGAAGCTTTCTTATCTCATACAAGTTCCTCAAGAACCAGGAACACTCCTTATCTCTTTACCAAGTTCACCAAGAAACTCTTATCTTTTACAAGCCCCCCTCCCCCAAGCAACTGAGAACACTGGAGCTCATCTTATTTTTTACTAGCTAAGTCCCCTGAAAAACTGTGGTGAACATTTCTTATAGTACAGTCACTGAGTCTTGTTGTCAGGCCCAGAGAATATCTTTCCAAGCCCTTATTTACAAGAAAACTCAAGTCTCCCAATATTGCCCCAGTCTGTGTTGTTGATGATTAATTTATTTGCTGTTGTTGATGCCTGTGATTTTGTGAGTGATATAGTGAGTTCTTCTGTGTTCTGTCCATGCGTGTTTCTGTCCTAACTGTGCATGTTTCTGTTTGTTTCCTTAGTCAGCGTCCCGGCGTGTGGGCTTGCAGTGTGCCAACTGCCGCACGACTCAGACCACGCTCTGGCGCCGAAACAACGAGGGAGAACCTGTGTGCAATGCCTGCGGACTATACTACAAACTACATAACGTAAGTACCTACTACACCTACTACACACTACATAACACAAGTGCTAAACCTACTATACTTACTACAAACTACATAATGGGGGAGAACCTGTGTGCAATGCCTGCGGACTCTACTACAAACTACATAACGTAAGTAGCAAACCTACTTACTGTACTAAAATACAGTAAGTACAGTACTGAAACTACTAAACCTACTACACTTACTACACACTACTTAATGTAAGTAAACTAGCTACTACAGTACTACACCTACTACAAACTACATCATGTAAGTACTTACTACAGCTACTGCTCAACTACATAACGTAAGTACTGAACCTACTACAGTGCTACACCTACTAGCTACATAACTACAAACTCCAAACAATCCAGAACCCTACCCCAACCACAATCTCCAGATCCATCCATACATCTGCCCCTGGTGCAAAAGTAAAAGTTATAACCTCAGCAGCCTGCAGGAGTGAAACACTCCCATGTCAGGTCAGGTGACGTGTTCTGCCCAGTTTGTCCCACACCGCCAAACCAGTTGCCATGGTAACGGGTTCCGGAATGTTAACGACTCCGACCCCTGCCCTCTGTCCCTGCTGTATCTCCAGTCTCACTCCGAGGCAATACAGGAAAATTCTACTTCTGCTATCAAACCATCAATCCAGGAACTCACCAATAGGAGTGGATGCAGTCTAAAACATCTGACAGTTTTCAAAATCTATCCAGTTACTTGAGTAATGTTTTTTTTGTCTGGATTACATATCTTATTACCTAGATGTTTAAACCTTCATTGACGCATCTGGCTATAAGCAATGGGCAAGTGTGCTAATGGAAATTTCTACCATCAGTTCTATTAAGCCAATAGTTGTCAGAATGTGCTGCAATGTAAGTTTTACTATCAGTTTTACTATAACAGTTTAACTATGTAGTTCTATATTATTTAGCTATTGGAGAGTGTGCTAGAGTACAAGTTCTACCATCAGTTCTATAAGCTATGTCACAATGTGCACTGCTGCAATGTAAGTTCTCTCAGTCCTCCTTAGCTATAAGCTAAAATAACAGGTGTCCCTCCCAGGGCCTGTACATGATGTGAAAAACAGAACTCAGGTTGGCTGGTCCATGCTGAATCTAAGGTCTTGCATCACGTCATAAATTCCTGTTTAGCTGAAGAAGTCCCACAGAAAGTTAATCTCCCCCCTGTATGGCTCATCACTTCGACAAGGCTGGAGTGTCAGACGGAACGTTATCGCTCCTGACTTGAACTTGATCGACTCTGCTTGTTTGAAATTCCAGAAATGGCATATAAATTGCGGAGTAAGAAGCAGAGTGGGTCTGGCTGATAACCGCACGCTGGAAACCTGCTATCTATGCTTACAGGCAAAACACGGGCAACCGACTGAGAGGATTACAGATAAGAAACCTTCGGGACGGCTGAAAATATCAGGCAGTGACATTGGAAAGGCTTCCCCACAGCTTGTATATGGGAGCTGCATGGGAAGGTGATACAACAAAACAGCCAGGTTTTAACAGTACATGGTAGAGTCTGGCACTACATGCTAGGGTCTTGGAAAACAGGCTGGTACTACTGACAGGTTTTACATACTGGAAACAGGCTGGTTGTGTATGCTTGTGTCATGCATGTACCAGTTATGTTAGTTGTTGCCATAGTTGTGTAGCTGCTGTAAGGGCTTAACTGTTGGTTTACCAGAGGAAATTGTTGGTCTTACCTTTATCAGAACATTGTTACTAATATGATAGGATTACACAGTTAGATACGACTCATATGAGTAACGGGTCGTTAACCCCTTATCCAACCACTACTGAGCTTGTAATCACAAGGAGAACACAGTGTGTGCACGTTGTCCTTGTGATGTCAGCACTTATCGTGTACCTGGGTAGTTTGGCAGTTCTGGGGTTGAGAGGACAACTGTAATGGGCTTCAGCACTGAAGGATGGAGACTATGGTGTGGATTTTCCTGCTGCAGCAGCCATCAGGTGTTTTCTTCCCCAGTCCCAGCTCAGCTAGAATCTGGTGCCCCCTTTTCACCCCCCTAAAACCCATCCACCACCCTTAAACAGATCCACCCCCTATCCACCCACCCCTCTTTCTACCCCCTCCCTGTCCACCCCCTCGGCTCAGATGTCGGGTGGCTCAGCTAGAATTTGGTGC